ACATCAATCTCAAAATCAATCACGACCAACAAGGGTCCAATCAGCACAAGAGTACAGAACAACACAACACAAAAATACAAAACACTGTCATGCTCGCTGGCTCACTCGCTAGGCGAAGCATCAGCGAATGCTCGCTACTTGCTCGCTCAGCGAACTCCCTAGAGAAGCCAAACAGTGGCTACTGGAAGCACTCGCTACCCAGTTCGCCCAGCGAATCCCCAGTGAAGATTCGCTACTCGCTCGCTCAGCGAAGCAGCTGGCGAACGTCTGCGGTTTCAGAAAAATAAAACTGCTCATAGTCGGCAAAAGCACTTCGAACTCAACCGATTCTACTCAAACCAATTCTCATCATACCAGACCAATATTCCACAATCCAACCACAACATCTATCCTCGATTTAGCCCGATTAAATGTCAACTCCACTCATTTAATCAACTTCGGCATAAAACTTCAAACTACCCGGAAACCCTAAATCACCAAACAACACATGCAATGGATTCAACATATCAGCATCGAACTCAGATTCAGAATATCAAGTAAAACATAATAGTCAAACTCATGGGGTTAAGGGAAATCCCCTTCTACCTAATATTCATGCGTTATACCAATTTTAACTGATTTTTCCCCCTTACCTCAAATGCAACTTCGATTGCCCAAGAGCTTCCAAAATCTGATAGCTTAGCTTCCTCTTGCTTGCTCTTGCTTCAGACCTTGTTCTCACTCTTGCTAGCTTAACCGAGTTCTTCTCCTTCACGCTCGTGTTCTTCTCTTCCTCTATTCTTCCAAAATGGCACTTCTGCCCCTAATACCCCAAAATTCTCTTTTTAATTCCAATAATAATATTAATCCTCATTTCTCCTTTTTAATCCAAAACAATTCCAATTAACAAAACTTCATAATATTAATATTAATATTAATAATAATAATAATAATGCTAATATCAACATTAATATTAATTATCCATTATTATCATTATCAATTATATAATATTAATACTATGTTCCTTATATCTTCCACAATTCCCACACAAGGCATGCCGATAATAAAATAACACGGGAAAAACTTAAATAATTAAAATGGGCGTTACATGGAACGTCCGGTTCGTTGTCCTCAACCATTGTCCCCGGGACCAACGTAGTCATTAACACCTGAAAAGCAGAAGGTAACGGTGAATTCGATGACAAAGATCAAATTCACCCTTCCACCGCAAGTCAAGTGAAAGGGCGACGAGGACAAACTGAGCATCGTCCTCGGTGACTCTACCCGAATCCTACCATCCCCCTGGGATGCCTACCTAATCTAATCTACACGCTCTCCCCGAGGCGTTCATCAGAATAAGCGTCTCTCCCTGGGGCATTCATCAGAATAATCGTCTCTCCCCGGGGCGTTCATCGGAGCAAGCATCTGTCCCCGGGGCATTCATCGGAATAGGTGTTTCTCCTCGGAACGCTCACGGTAAAATCCTAGAAAGCCCCCCTACAGCGGCAAAGATCCACACCTCTCCTCGGGGCATTCAACATGCCCCGACCACGGTCCTAAAACGAACGGGAGAAACAAAAGAAAGGAGAAGAAAAACTTACTATTTTTCGATCTGCGGCGGAGTACGAGACGACTACTGCGACGAAGATGTCAGACGGTAGCGAAGACGGAAGATCAGAGAGTTTGAGAGCAAGAAGGCGAAAAGTGGAGAATGAGCGGGGGCTCGCTTACTTATACCCCAGCACGGGACTCGAAGCATCGCTAGGCACTCGAGTACCCTAGGGTAGCCACCCTAGCAGCCACCCGGCGCATGACACATGGCGGAGGCTAACAGCCGCGTCCCCTCACATCTCCCCGCCAACATGTGTCCTCAACCCTAAGCACCCGGCGACGAGAAAGGACTCACGCACTCACGTCCCTGCGGAACGCGAGCTGGAGGGTTTCTCCTCATGTTAATCTCTCCTCCCCGGCATAACGTCAGCAAGTCCTCACTCCCTCCCTCGGAGCTACGACTTAGGGGGCTCCTGTTCTGGCCTGGGCCCCGGCTTGACCGGATAGGCCCAACCCAATAATATTCTGCCAAGCCCAATCCAGCTTGGGCCACAGCTGTCGAGCACAGAGTCCCCAGCGGGCAAATAATGTCCCTCCGCGGGCAGAACCTTCCTCATCTGTGTCGAGCACAAGACTCCCCCGTCGAGCAGAACCTACCCCTCCGCGGGTAGAGCCTGCTCCCTTGTCGGGCAGGACAACGTGTCCTTCACACATTCTCCACGTGCTCCCCTCTGTGGGGATACGTCACCGATCAACTGCCCACCTACGAAAGAGCAGGTCAAACCCACTTTCCGGAGATCACATGACAGTTGAATTAGGGTGAAGACCACGTCCTGGTCTTCACTACGCCACGTAAGCCCTAGCAGTCACTTGGGTTGGGTCTGGCAATCCAGCCCAACACAAGTGACCGTTGGCCCAGCGCTGGGGTCTCTCTATAAATACCCTCTTTCACAAGAGGGTCAGGTAATTCAATTCTTACCCCTTTTTTGTACTTGTGATCACTCTGCCCATACACTTACTTTAGCATCGGAGTGTTTTGCAGGTACACCCCCTCCTCTTCTTCAACACCGGCTAACGAGCAGCAAGTTGAAGATGCGTGACAGCCAACGATCCCCTTCTGATCAGGTCAGATCAATACCAATATAATCTTTTTTCTTTGAGTTTAGACCCTCTTTTCAATAAAAAAAAAGTGATACTATGTAAATTTTCTTATAGTACAACATCAACATTTTTCTCAATCACTTCACGTTTCTCTCATTCTTTAACATGTAGAATCGTAGTTATTAAACAATAAGTTTGTATGACAAAAAAAAATATTATTTTTAAAAAATCTTTTGTAACTGATTTGATTTCTAGCAAGCATTTTCAATTTGAGCTAGAATGAAGCACAAAATTAGATTATTGTGTGATTTGTGGTTTATGGTTGTTAAATTCTATTTGATCAACTTTGGTTACTTTAAGTAGGCCACAAACATAATTGTGGCAAGTTGAAAATTGTCATGAGTTTGGTGCTTATTAACTGGTCAAGAGGAAGTGGAGGGAGTCTTGTTTTCATCGCTTAAAAGTAATCATTTGGTACAATACAATGATAGATGTCCATTTACTTCTCGTGTGTTATAATTTTAATCAAACTGGTCAAAAGTGAAATATAAATATTAGTCTAGTTGGAAGAGACAGAAAAATAATAAACATTAATATTTTTTATAATAATTTATTATCAGTTTTTTATAAGACGAATAATACTTTATTATCTTTTGATGTCATTGTTTAACAAAATGTTTAATAAAAAGACAAAAATGAGAATTTTTAAAAATATAAAAAGAGAAGTTCTGAAAATCAATATTTAATATTGATAAGAGGGTTAGAAATATATTTAATTGATTTGAAAGAGTTGAGTTAAGAATTAAAAGATTATAGAGGTTTAGATTTTAAGTTAGGAATAAATATATATATATATATATATATATATATATATATATATATATATATATATATATATATATATATATATATATATATATATATATATATATATATATATATATATATATATATATATATATATATATATATATATATATATAATTATTTTAATCTTTTGAGAAGTTTTGTGTAAAAATTTAAAATTATCTTTAGTTAAATTATGAATTTTTTTTAAGAGTTCATACTTACCTGTAAATTACTTGTGAAATATCTATTTGGTGGCCCTTTTTGCCATAGCTTAATGAAAAAAAATGATGAGACTCTGGATTAAAGACCACTTGCACATTCTCACAGACGAATATATATATATATATATATATATATATATATATATATATATATATATATATATATATATATATATATATATATATATATATATATATATATATATATATATATATATATATATATATATATATATATATATATATATATATATATATATATATATATATATATATAAAACATACTTTAAATAATAAAGTTAATAAAAAATGATAAAATTAACACTTTTTATTAAATATTATGTATTATTTTTAATTCATAACAAATTATTAAATAATATTTATAGTAAAAATAATTTTAATTTGACCTAATTTATTATTGTATAAGAAACTACCTTAAAATTAAAGCTAAATACAAAAGTTTAAATAATAAAACTGATGTTGTTTTCCTGTTACATATATTTTTTGTATTTTTTATTACTTTTAGCTTAATAGATATATTTTTGATAGAAAATGACTCGAGTAATAAAAAAATGTTTAATATTATCGAAGATATTTTACATGCTTTGAAAAACTCATTTTAACTGATCTTTGAAAAGTCTTTATATCTAAATTTTGTTATACAAAAGATAAACTATGTTTTATTAAAGTAATATTTGACTAATTTAATTTTATTTGATTCACAACATTATATTTTACTTTTTTTAATTCATATTTTTATTTATAAAATTTTATAATACTATGATTTGTCATATTTTATAAAAAAATTATTATTTAAAAAAAAACACCATTAATTTTAAATATAAAAGTATGATAAAAATATAAAATTATTTAAATTTAAAATTAAAGAAATTAATTTCATAAATCAGATAAAATAAAAGACCAAAAATATTTAGTATAAGTAAGGATAAATTTAGTACTAAACAAGATTACTCACCTCTTTAAAATACACATTACTCATCGATTCTTAATTTTAAATAAGACTAAATTTACATTCTTATATTTCTTTATCAAATTGTTTAGTACTAAATACCATTACTCACCTCTTAAAAATACACATATTGGTATATCTCAAGCGTAGACTTTAGTCTTCTCTCCCGCGAGCACATTACAAAGAAGCGGCGTCGTTTTATCCTACATTCCAGCGCACGATTCGAACGGAATAAACTTTCCGATTCCACCTACGCAATTTTCCTCCGATTTTCTCAAGAAAATCTAGCATAGTCACCGTAAAGTCTTCTGTATAGATTGCTTACAATCATGGACCGGAGGAGAACCGATAGTCCAGTATACACGCGGCAGTGGAGCGAGAATTCCAGCAGCACCGGCTCATCATCGCCGGTGATGTCGCCGGCTCATCATCAGTCACGGCTTGGTCCTACTTCTACCGGCATCTCCACCATCAAACGCACCCAAAACGTGGCTGCCAAAGCCGCCGCGCAGCGCCTTGCTCGCGCCATGGCGACTCGAACTGTTGACGACGATGAGGATGAGGACGACGATCTCGAGTTCGGTTTCAGTGTTCCACCGGCGTCTGCTCACTCTTCCTTCTCCAGCAACAGGAGTTCTACTGCTAATGCTAACGTCATCCCTCCAATTTCGATCGCGAGGCCGAACAGATCTCCTTCTCCTGCGGTAATTCTCACTGCTCTTGCTCCTTATGCATGTATGTTCCGATTCAATTACGTTATTATTTGCACGGATTAGTTTATTGACTCGTAAAAAATCAAATAATGATCAGTATTCGGATATGATTTTAAACTTAGTGGTGTTTTGTTGATTCGCGGTTGTTAATTTCATGCTATCAATAGTGATTGAGTTAGATCTGATCTGAGTCATGGATTGATTTTCTAGATGTTGCAAAGTTCTTGTTGAGCTAATATGATTTTGATGTTTTTATTAGTTAGGTCGGAACTTTGTAGAGCATACTCAATCGGTGCGTTCATCATCTGCTGGAAGACCAGCAGTTTCAGTTCGTTCAGCACAGGTGGTGCCACCTCCCAAATCAACTATCCGAACACCTATGCCTGTACCCCCAATTGATCCTCCTACTAATAGGAATAGAGAAAAAAGGTATTGTGCAGTTCTTTTACCACCTTAAATGGTATCTTTTCAGCAAGTTTGTGTTTTGTAGCACTTTGAGGTTGTGCCAATAATACGGTATAGCTGATTCTTGATTAGTTTAAAGACCTAGACATAGCATGCAAAACACTTGTTAAACTACATCCTTGGCTTCTTGCCCTAAAGACCCCAGGCCCCTCTAACAAGTGAACAACCTGAAACTGAAACTTCTATAATAATAATAACAAAACATATATGGCTTTTGTAAGGTTTTGCTGTACAATCTTTGAATAGTTCAAATAGCACCCTTAGGCTTTGTTTGGGAGGTAGGAGGGGAGGGAAAGAGGGAAAGAGAGAAAGAGAGAAACATTTCTCACCTTGTTTGGAAAAATATATTTTTGGAGGGGAGAGAAGAATAATGCTTATTAATAATTTTTTAGTTTGAGATGTTATAAAAAAAGGAAAAGGATCTGGAGAATTTTCCTAAACCTTTCAAAGCCCTCTAAACCCTCCCCAAATACATTGTTTGAGTTCCCTCATATTGGAGGGTTATAGTTATTAGTTATATGGATAAATGTAAACTCCTCAATCCTCATACAAGGTGTGGGGGTGGTGGGAGGGCCATTACCCCTGATGCTTCCCTTTCCTCTATCCTTTACCTCAAAGTCCTACCTCCCCCCTCCTAACTCCCAAACAAAATCTAAAAGAATGGAGGCTGTTGTAATGGATATTTGAAGTCTCGAAAATACTATGTTCTCTAAATATTTTACATAAATAATAAAGTGGATTGACATGCCGTCTATGCCAAGCCCTCAGTTAAAGTTAGTGTGTTTCTCCTATTATTTTGTTTGTTTTGGACAAATATTAGAGGTATAATATCTTACCATCTTGCTCAATATTTTTAAAAAGCTTCATTAGGAGGTTGAATGCATGAGATCTAGTCTTGATTAGGCCATACATTACTTTTGCACATGCATGCAATTGATTCTTTTTTATGTATGAATGAGCTAAATCTTTATTTTGTTTATGAATGTCATATGTCTATCTACCTTTCTATATATTTTTTGTATGTATGTAGACTGCACTACAGTAGTTTGTTGGCCATTAGGTAATATTTTTTCTTTTCTAAATCTTTAGTTTTAATCATTAGTTGACGATTTCAGGTTTCCACAAGACATCACTATAAGGCAACTTAACTCTAAAGACACAGGAGATCAGCGTGAAGCTTCTGCACTCCGTGATGAAGTATAACATGCATCAATTTGTCTCCAAAAACTTAAATCCGATAATCCTTATAGTTGGTTATGTTAGTTCTAGTAGATTTTGTATTGCTATTCTTAAATTATGGATTTTAAAGCTGATTCTTATTGATATCACAGCTTGATATGCTACAAGAAGAGAATGATGCTTTATTTGAAAAGGTATGCTTACTCACACCCAAACAAAATCAGTTTTTGTCCGTGTTATATGATGTTGACTGTCAACACCTAATTATGCTCCAGCTAAAACAAGCTGAGGAAAAACGCCAAGAAGTGGAGATCAGATCCCGGGAACTCGAGAAACAGGTGAATGTTTTTGCTTCCTAGTAACATTGAAACTGTTAGGCATAAGACTGAGCAGAAATTTAGGGTCTGGAAGGTGTATACAAGATAGAATAAACTATAGGTGGTTTGTCGGTTAGGAAGTTAGAAATCACATAGTGGGTACTGTAGAGATGTGGTCATATGCTGGAACAATCAAAAGTTAACTACGTCTCGCAGTTGTAAGTTGAATCCCTTGTAAGCTCTGTTTTCTGGTTCCTAACAGAAATCTAACATAAGTGGTTTAATACCATAGCTTAAATGCCATATTTTGCATAACCACTATGCTTTTGTTATCCTCTGTTTGTAAACGTATGAAGTAAGGTCTGCTTTAATATATTAAAGTTGCTTCATTTTCATAGCTTTCACTGTGCATGCTATGTTTGCTGATATCTGTATCCTTGATCATTTTGGTTTTGGCAGGTTGCTTCTCTTGGAGAAGGTGTATCCCTGGAAGCCAAACTGCTGAGCAGGTAACCTAGCTTTAAATTCACTTTTATGCTAGTAGGATCTGAAGCTATTTATTTTGTTTATTTTTTAGGTCATGCTTTTTATTTGGTATATTTGCAGGAAAGAAGCTGCTTTGCGTCAAAGAGAGGTATGCAGAAATAATGGGTTTAAGATGTGGCAAAAAGTACTAAATTATTGATGATAAAAAGTTTAAGTGTTTGATCACTCTTGCTTGATAAGCACTATACCAGCTCTTCAAGTTTTAATTCAGTATTATTAAGAAGGATGCATGTGTGCATATTTGTGTAAAGGAATATGATCCGTAGGCGGTTTTGGAGCTCGTTGTATATTCTTGATGCTTTTGTATCTAAAGCTCTGTTTCCAGTTGCAGTTTTATTCTTTAAATTGTGTGTTCACTCAAAGAATATCCTTGGAGTACTCAATATTTTTGTCACAGGCTGCTCTGTTGGCTGCAAAACAAACACGGAGTGAAAGGGATGAGGATCTCACAGCCCTTCGTGTCGAACTTCAGGTAGTTTGAAGGAAGCGTGAATTTCTTTTCATTTTTTTTGTTGTACCTCATACCTGGTCTGATCATTATTCTGTACAAGTTATAGCTTCTATTTCTTTGTTCAGAACCTAAAAGATGACGCTGCAGCAGCAGAGGAACAACGGCAAGAAGCTGAAGCTGAAGCAAAGGCTCTTCGAACAATGACAGAGAGAATGATTTTGACCCAAGAAGAAATGGTTTGTATTTTTCTTTAAAATGAAAATTAACATTTATTACTTTTTCCTTCTGTCTCAATTCATCTTTTTATATTTCAGGAGGAAGTGGTCCTAAAGAGATGTTGGCTTGCCCGCTACTGGGGTCTTTCTGTAAAACATGGTAACAAAATTGCCTGTGCTCCCTACTTTCTGCAGAAAAAGAATATCTCAATCTTAAAATTATTTTCCTTTGATCTGAAAATACACGGCTTACAAAGATATGAGAAGCATATTTTGCATTGGTCTGTTCATCCATTACCGTTTTCAAATGAGTGCTTATAATTCCTGTGGTGTGTTATTTCCATGCTTTTAAGGCATATGTGCAGATATAGCACAGTCCAAGCATGAACATTGGTCTGCTTTAGCTCCTCTTCCTTTTGAACTTGTCACCTCAGCTGGACAAAAGGCTAAGGAGGAATCTTGGAACAAAAGTAAGCATGAGTTGATACTCTAAACTTTAGTTTGAATAATTTCTCTCTTAAATTAGTTATATAGATATCTAATTAAACAGCATGGACTAGGTGCCGATGGTTCAGATAGAAGCAAAATTGTTCGTGACGTGAATGATCTTGCTGGGGAAGGAAACATAGAGAGTATGCTTTCAGTTGAGATGGGTTTGAGGGAACTTGCTTCTTTGAAGGTTCTTAATGAATATTATTGAAGTTAATGCTATGTTTGTTTTGCTGATTGTGTTCTGTACAGAGGGATACCTCTGATTGTAAGGAGCTGGTCTCCACAACACATGCTTATCTATTATAGAATTTCAGCTCCTATCAATATTAAGAAATTTTTTTATTATTTAGGTTGAGGATGCCGTTGTACTTGCATTAGCCCAACACAGACGCCCAAATTTGATTCGGCAGTCTGTTTTAGGTACGTTGATTACGTCTTCCTCAAATCTAATTTTTCGACTTCTCTTCTGGTTAATCAATTTGGTAATTCTTGACTCTTTCATTTGATCGACGTCTATCTATATTCCACCTGCAGTTGGTACACTTCTTACTATATTAACTTAATCATTTCCTTTCCTCTTATAATTCAGTTTTTGTTGGATTGATGCTGTGTTAAAGCGTACCAGTTTGTCATATGTGTGTGATCTTTTTGAATTTTAGTAATGAGTTATGTTCTGGTTTGTTTTTATTCATGTGCTTATTTTGGATTAATTTTCTTAACTTCATTTGTTATGTTACCGTTCCAAAGCATAATGGTTTTGTAGAAGATGATTTGAATTATATTTTATTTGTTTTAATTTTATTTTCAGATTCCAAATCACCTGGTGATGCCAAATATTTGGAAGCATTTGGTAAGTGTTATGTTGTCAGCTTTTATTTTTAGTTTGATTTGATATTTAGCTATTTTTTAAATTTCGGTATGGAATAAGCTTTCTGCTTTTGTTTGTGTTTGATTTGGCGTGCTTTAGTGGTACTGCCACTGGTGTTAAATTTGTAGATATACAAACCTATGGGAAATGTTACAAGTGTCTAGGTTATCTGTCTGTTATTCAAAACTTTTCTGTTTGCCTTAAACTAGTACAATATTGCTGATATACTTTTCAATCACTTATCTATATTCTTCTTCTTTTGGATTGGTGAGGAAATTAGGATTTACTAGCTACTAGTGTATCTTTGCTTTTGTATTATATAGACTAGACACGTCTGCATTTAGCCATTCTTCATTTGTGAATGGTAATGTGTATGGAAGATTACCTGATGATACTATGTTAATATTCTGTTATCTTTTTCCTCCAGAATTAAGTGAAGAGGAAGCCGAAGACGTTCTTTTCAAAGAGGTTGGTTGCTTCTGAAATTTTGCACTCTACGTTCTTGGCTTTTAGCTCTATGAAATTGTAATACCTGTCCTTCAAATGATGTTACAGAATTTTCATTTCTAATAGCATTAGTCTTGTGGCATGTGTAAGTGTCTTCTTTAGAATCAGCAATCAGTTATCTTTATAGAAATGTATGTTTTTTGTTGAATATCCTTCTGATGAAGTCAGATTTATGTCTTAGGAAACTGAGTCAATAATTGCAATCCTTGAGATGAAATATTGAGTGAACACTCCTATATAACCATGGCTTTTGGATGACCCAATCATAAATACAAATATTTGCAGGCTTGGTTAATTTATTTCTGGAGAAGAGCTTTATTTCATGGTGTGGAAGAAGATATTGCAGAAGACAGGCTTCAGTTTTGGATTGCCCGCAACGGACAGGCACCAACTTCACATGATGCTGTTGATGGTAAGCTCATCATTTTTATCATCTTTTCTGGTTTTGAAGAGTATGAATATGTTCTTAAGCTTAATAGTGAACAGTCTTTGAAACTCCTGGGTGCAAACAAATTAGTATATACATAGTTTTTGAGTTGTGTGCTGATTGGTATAGTTTTTGATTATGATGTCATTTTAGAAAGTTATTCTGGATAATAGGTCAGGCGAAGTTCACCAAGAAAAAAACAGGTCAGATGAAAATATTAGTCAAACAACCTCATTTTTAGGCTTGATTTGATCTAAACTTGAAGTACTCCTAATTGTATTGACCATCTCCGAGTTTGACAATGAGCAGCAAATGTTGCAACGACTTCTTCTATGTGTGGATATCAAGAACTTTGAATTATTCTAATTATCTTTTTTAGTTTAAATGGTTTTTGTTTTTCATTATAAAAGTATTTAGAAGATTAATGTAGCATGATAGAGTTTCTGTATTGTTCATTCGCACTGGCTATGCACGAATATGAATTCCTGTTCGATGCAACTAGCATTTAATTATTTAATACAAGGCAGCTAAAATATACTGAATATCTAGATATTTAGCTATCAATTGAAACAACAAAGTACTCACTCCGTCCCAAATTATAGGATGTTTTGGAAATTTCACACGAATTAAGAAACATAATCAAAGAAACAAAAATTGTGCATGACTTTACAATATTGTCTTTCATTTATTTATTATAGATGAAAGAGGAATTAAAGAATTGTAAAAAAAAAATAATGATAGAGGGTATATTGGGGAAAATGTCATTAGTGTGCGTTGGAATTGTAAAATAACTTATAATTTAGGACTATATTTTTTGGCAAAATGACTTATAGTATCCCCATTTCATTAGGTTCATTTCATACATTAGGAATTAGTATTTAATTTTTGGTTTCTATTTTGGATTTTAGATTTTTTGACAATCACGGGAATTAGTAACACTAATGGTACATCTAAACAAAAACAAAAAAATGTCTCAGTTTGGGCTGTCAAATGGGTGACTATTTGTAAGTCCATATCCAGTTGTATTCTGTGTGCCTGGTTTGGTTTGCGAGTCCCAAATCGGTCAGGTTTTCTCATTTTATCATCTGAATCTGCAACATTTGCAATAAGCCTCAATTCAGAAAATATATAAGTAACATATGTTATGAATCTGTAATATTATTGTTGGGTAGGCAAATGTGGGGAATTCAAAGAGAGAATTGTGTAGTAATCAGCTCAAATGTTTAGCATATATTGCTTTGATGTAAATGGATGTTTTGTATATGAACTCATTTGTTCACTCTGCTTCCTTCTAGTTGAGCGAGATTTGTTGGAGTTGAGGAAGCTGGGTATAGAACAGCAACTTTGGGAAGCTTCTCGGAAGGGAATTGATCAGCCATCAGGGTTGTCGACACTTGACAATCATAAACCTGCCTCTGACTCAGATAGCTCATCGTGATTGTCCGAGCCCTTTATTTGTTGATTGATTCTTTGCCCTGTATATTTTTGTTTAGTTTTCTATACAAGTTCTTTTTCCATTTCTGTACACCATGTTTTCAACATTATATTTGGGCCTCATAGAAAGGAAGTAAGAATCTTTACGTTGGAAGGAAGACAGTATTTGTGGTAATAAACTATTAAACCGAGATTCTTTTCTTCGTTCTTTTAATTGAATTTTGAAACTTGTGAAGCTTGTTTCTTAATATTCACAGTTAGTTTGCTTAGTATTGTTACTAGCTGATTATTTGATTTTATTGGATTTGGCTAGTTATTTGCTGTTAGATTTTACTTTTTCTGTTCATAGAAAGGGATTTAGGGTGGGGATTGGATAGGATGGTGTCTCAATTCAAGACAGAAAATACGTTAAAACTCAAAGAACACTAATGAATTTATGTTGTATTTAGCTTGCTCCAAAAATATTTCAAGTGGACGAAGGACCCTAAAAGAGCAAGACATTGCTAGACCCTTATGTTTGAGGCTATCTGACATCAAGGGCATTATGATCACCAAAGGTAGAACTTTTGGGTTACCGTGCGCATGACAGGACATTAATCACCAACACTTGTGGAGACTTTTCCAGCGTACCTTTGTTTGGTTTTAATGGAGGGTTAATTTTCCTCTGACCTTCAATCTATTTTTTGAAGATAGACTCATTCTCGAAAAGGTCCAACTAGAAGAGCAGAGCAAGGAGCAGAACATGAAGCTTTCTTAGGGTCTTATTAGCTTTTATTTAGCTATTATGTCAAGATTCTCTTTTAAGAATATTCACCCGAACATGAAGCTTCCTTAGGGTCTTATTAGCTTTTATTTAGCTATTATGTCAAGATTCTCTTTTAAGAATATTCACTTGTAATCTATTTTCAAAAATAATAAATAAAGCATTCGTATTCTGCGATGTTCGTAACTATTTGAATTCCATGAAATCTTTTATCCGCATTCTGCATTGTAGCATCATGTTTTGCATATCATATGTTTGTTCGGTAACTCATGTCCAGTTGTCTTTATCTTTCAGTGTCTCTTTGAGTCGTCAAGTTGATTCTTCGACACAGATATCAGACTAGAGCTAACTATAGACTCTAGATGTCAGAACAAGAGACATATAATGCGGAAATCTGAACAGAGATCGATGAGTTGAAATCAGGCATGACCAAACTCACTGAGATGCTTCAAGTACTGATTACCAGAGGAGAGCCACCGTAGAGGACCGCCATTCAGGAAAATTCAAGTGCTGATCCACCTCCTATTCAAATGCCACCCTCTACTTGGCCAGAGTTTGGTTTACCTCCTAACTACTCTCCACCTCTTGCATCTGCTGCTATGCTTGGTCAGACTGTCAGACCGGTTTTTCAAGCTCCCGTCCTTGCCTAGCCCGGACCTGTGGTCCACACTGTTAACCAGACTGTCCAAGCTCCCTTTGAGAACCCTCCCTATGAGTACAATGCTGCCGGTGTTCAAGGGGAAGACCATGAAGATTTTGTTGAGCCTGAGATTACCTGTGAACAGTTTTAGATCATAAATAAGAGACTCCAAGCTGTCGAGGGTACTGATTTCTTCAACGTAGATGTAGACAATATGTGTCTAGTTTCTGGTCTTGTTTTGCCTGCCAAATTCAAGACTCCTGAGTTTATGAAGTATAAAGGTCACTCATGTCCAAGAGCCCATCTAGTCATGTACATCCGAAGGATGGTAACTTACACCCACAATCAGAAGCTGCTCATCCATTGCTTTCAGGACAGTTTGAGTGGTGCTTCTCTCAATTGGTATATGAACTTAGAGAAGAACAACGTCCACTGCTTTCAGGATCTCGCCAACGCTTTTATGAAGCAATACAAATACAACTTGGACATGACTCCTGATCGCCGTCAACTTCAAAGTATGTCTCATGGTGAAAGAGAGGCATTCAAGGAATACGCTCAGCGTTGGAGGGAGTTAGCTTCCCAAGTTGAACCCCCTATAGCAGAGAAGGAGCTAACATGAATGTTCATGGATACTTTGTCTCTTTTCTATTGGGAAAAGATGATTGAGAGTGTCTCTTCAAGCTTTACAGATCTGGTGACTATTGGCCAAAGGTTAGAAGAGGGTTTGAAAAATGGTAAGGTATCCAAAGCTGTCGAATCTTCTAGTGGGGCAAAGAAATCCTATGGAAATTTTCAGAAGAGGAAAGAGGATCAGACCAATGTTATCATGACTGAAGCAAGAAGGCCTTGCCATGGACCTCAATATGTTGATCATCATGTTGTTGCTGCTCCACAACCAACTCAGACTCCTCAGTGTCCCGTTGTTAGACAGAACCATTATCGAAATAGGAATCAATTTGATCCTATTTCCATGACTTACACAGAACTATATCCTGACCTAGTTCGACAAGGGCTGATCACTACAAGGGCTTTACCACCTCCTCATAATCCTCCTCCAGCTGGATTTAGGGTTGATCTCCAGTGCGCTTTTCATGAGGGTACCCTAAGCCACGACTTGGAGCATTGTTTTGCACTGAATGCTAGAGTGCGTGAGTTGGTTAGAGCTGGAATACTTGATTTTGAGGATAGTCATCCGAACGTCCAGACAAATCCTTTGCCAGTGCATCAAAAGTGAAGCTTTGGCCTAACCCCAGCGGATTATTTTCCTAAATGCCAATGTTTCAGACAGGACAATTCATCTTTGTACCGATTTAGTCACTAGGCGTTTTGTTTCTCGTTGTTTGCACTTTCCTTATTTTGTTTAAGCTGTTTGCTTTTAATTAGTGTTTGTACTTTCATACCAATGAAATGAGCATTGCAACTTTTGATTTCAATTCATTTTGTCTATTATCTGCACTTCTACGTTTTATCATTCAAATATTTACTCCTTGTTCAAATTTTTGATATGCAAAGATTGGAGGGAGGATGATGAAAACATTATACCCATAACTACTGTCAGTATGCTTTCAATCAAACTTTGTTGACGATGTAAGACATTGTTTCAATTCCCAAACACTGGAGAAATAAGGAAGTTATTCCCTTGTCACCCCCTTCGAGCCCAGAAGTTGGAGTTTCTTTCTTTACAAAAAGACCCGCAATCTTAACCGGAGGCACGGGTAGTTCTCAGTTAACTTGGTTGTATGTTCCTGCAATACACCTTTCATGTGAAGATTTCATTCACAAGTTTTCCTTCGCACCCCGCAAGCGAGTGTTGGAGATGGCTTTTAAGTCGATGATGGTTCACCGTAATCATTAGAGCTAGGTTCACTTTCTTCCAGAAAAAAAACGAAAAGAAAAAGCCTGCTAAGTCAAAACCTATGAAGGAGACTTAGGCAAAACTGGGGCATCCCACTGACTGTGCACTTTACAAGAAACAGTTCAGGAAAAAGTTAGGGATAGTAAAAAGAGGAGATCTTTAAATCCTTACCCTGAAAATCCTCAATGTCAAAACAACTAAATGTTATAGGGAAGTAGTGGCTGCCTTTCCATAGGTCCCTTGACTTTTGAACCATCATTGCTACCATAAGTGCAATTCCTAACCTATAGGAACCTGAATGCATAATATGTGTTAACTGAGCGTAGGACTGAAGATCATCACAGAGTTTGGGTGGGTACTAATAAATTTCGAGCCTTTATCCTTTGTTTCATAAACCGTGAACCAGACCACGTTACAACCCTCAAAATACCTAATTGAAACAAGGTTATTTTGAAAGCATACTACAGCAAGGTTGCGTAAGCTGACTCCAAAAGATCTTTGCGAATCATTTGTCTTGTCAGTATACCTTTGTTTTAAACTTTGAGCGTCTTGAACCATTGTGTTTTGACCAATGACTCATTTATTTTTTCATCTTTCAAAAATAATTTTGATTTCAAAAGTTACATGAACTTTGCATTGCCATGCTTGTATGAATATTTTTGTTTGCAAACTGGCTTTCTTCAAGGGATTTTCAAACAATCGAGAAAACATGGTCAAGTGATCCTATCAGGGGCAAGCTCTTTTCACATCCTGTCGAAGAATCAATTCAAGATTTGTTCAAGGCAAGTCCTTCTCAGATTTAGTTTACCCATAAGATCCTTTAAGACCCATACTGGGGCATACCTTCCAAGGGCATAGTAGCGCAATCATCTACAGAATCAGACAAGCTGAAATAATTATCAAGTCATCTATAACAGACGGTTTAATCTGAGGCAGTTTACTTGGAGGATCATCAACTTGATACAGTTTAGAAGTGTGTCAGAGATGTGTTCAACAGTACTATCTTTGGTCCCCAAGCAGAATGTTAGTAATCTCCGTGTTGAGGAATCAGTCTTCCAGTCTTGTCATCTCACCAAAGGAGTCGAGCCTTGCCGTCGGCGTCTGCATTTGCATAATTCATATCATATGCATATAATGAGTGTTTCATCTTCATTTGTATTTCTCTCAAGGTCGTGGTGTTATTCATGTCTCACCTTGTGGTCAAAGTCCAACTCACTTGGCACCTACCAAACAGTTTTTTCTTGACTTATCTGATGGTTTTCCAGATATCCCCTTTGATTCTGATGTTTTTCCGGAATCTGTCCGATGTTTTTCCGGATACAGTTCTCTCTCTCTGATGTTTTTCCAGAGTGAGTCTCTGTTATGATGTTCTTTCAGAACTTATCTGATGGTTTTCCAGATATTCCTTTTGATTATGATGTTTTTCCAGAATTTATCCGATGTTTTCCCAGATTTGTTTCTCTTTCTGATGTTTTTCTAGAGTGAGTTTCTGTTCTGATGTTCTTCTAGAACTTATCTGATGGTTTTCCAGATATTCCTTTTGATTCTGATGTTTTTCTAGAATTTATCTGATGGTTTCCCGGATTTGTTTCTCTTTCTAATGTTTTTCCAGAGTGAGTCTCTGTTCTGATGTTCTTCCAGAACTTATTTAATGGTTTTCCAGAATCTACCCGATGTTTCTCCGGACTTGTTTCTCTTTCTGATGTTTTTCCAAATTGAGTTTTGGTTCTGATGGTTCTTCCAGAA